TTAATTACACTGAAGAGTCCATTTCAGAGAGACAAAGTGCTTTTGGACCACATGTGTTAAAAGTCAGCAAGGGTAAATGTGTTCCCATAGCAGATACCGACACTGGGTTATGAAATGTTAGTGCTTCACATCTCCATGAACAGTGTTCTCCAAACTGTTTACATCTTTACACCCATAGACTGGCAAAACATGGGAAATCGTTTCATGGACCACCTGACAGCTAACCCCAAAAAAAAGTGAATCAAACACAAGTCAGCAGTTCTTCTTCTTCTTTATGTCCTGTTTTACCACTTTGTGTGCTGCTTTGTGCTCTTCTGGCTGCTTCGACCATAGACACATCGAATTATTGTTGAGTTTCTTTGACGTTATCTTCCCATATGGTTCTTGGTCTACCTCTTGCTCTACATTCCTTTCCTCTTCTGGTATATGCTTTGAATGGTATAGGATCAGAAGGCATTCTTTCCAAGTGGGCAAACCAAAATATTTATCTGCTATCTTTGTATTTAATTTAAAATTGGTTCTGTGCCGACTTTATCTTGTGTGACCTCATTCCTGATTTTACCTCTTTTGGTCACTCCTACAGTCTTTCTCAGACTCCTCATTTCCATGGTTATTAATTTGAGTTAGCAGGTTATTTGTTCAATGAGATGTCTTAGAACTACAATTTTCTGCAATATTTGCTACTGCTTAGAGGTTAGAAAATAAAATATAGCTGTCACATACAAAGTCTCACTTCGCAGCAGTAGTAGTGCCAGAATCATGCAGCCGCTACATAATTAGACATTTTTAATCAGCCCACCAGAACATTTCTGAGGCCCACTAATGGTCTGCAGATCACCAGCTGAAGAACACTGTCCTAGGACACAGCATACACAAATGAGGTGGCCAGTTCATTTGCTCATCCCCTTCCGGACATTTCCAAAAAAGTTGTTTTGTACAAAATGTTCAGAGGTCGCCGTGACCTGAGTCAGGTAAAAATAATCAGGCCGTAGTTGGAAATTGATCAAAACATATACTGGCAGGTGTGCACTAACAACTATAACCCCCATTTTCCCCCAACAAACCAGCAAAGTACACCTGCAAAAATACCAGTTTCAAATGCCACAATGAAGTCACAATTAATTCAAGCCCATTAATTGCAGGTGTTTCATAGCATATAATTTATAAATTCGATTTCAACTGATATTTCGAAGGTGGGAACATGGAAAACAAGCAAAAAAGCTTCCAACAAGCACCGCATTTCAAAATGTAAAAGTCAAAGAAAACACGGTGACAGTTTGTGCGGTCCCGCTGTCAAGGTAAGCAGCTTCTTGAGATTTTATAGTCAATTGAAGTAAGTACACTATTCTTTTAGATATAGAACTTTAATGTATATCAACAATGACAACATACTAGATATCACCAAAGACCGAACTTCTTTCTTCTATTTCTTAGCCCCCTGAGTCTTATGGCAATTTATTACAAGAATAAACTCAGTCATCTGGTTTTCTGTGTGTCTCCCTCCTCTCCTGATCATGTTGCCACCATTCTGCCATATCCTGTTTATGCTGTTGTTGGATCAATCTGCTTACATCTGTCTTTACTATTACATCTTTTGTAAACATCTCCAAGTGTTTTTTAAAAAATAGTCTTGTTTTTGATGATTTTATAGAACTTTAATGTATATCAACAATGACAACATACTAGATATCACCAAAGACCAAACTTCTTTCTTCTATTTCTTAGCCCCCCCCCCGAGTCTTATGGCAATTTATTACAAGAATAAACTCATTCATCTGGTTCTCTGTGTGTCTCCCTCCTCTCCTGATCATGTTGCCACCATTCTGCATCTGTTACCATCTTCATCTCCTAGTGTTGTCTTGTTTTTATGATTTTAAATCACTTTCATTTTTTTTCTGTCTTGATTTTTGTCTATATCTTCAGTTTGTATACTGTAGACATTTTTGCTACATCTCTCGGTCATGATTTGCTATGTTTATGTTGCATATTACATTTTAAAATTTACCAATTTTATATATAAAATCTTCCATGGCAGTGAGAACTTTTTCAACTTAAAACCAAGAATAAAGTTATAATTCTTTTTCCACTATGCTTCTGTTGATGCTATTAAAATTTAAATGATAAAAATAATTCCAACATAAAATGAGACATGAAACATATTATAATGGCAAAACGTATGACAACTGACAGAATAAGAGAAAAGGCAATAAATATGCATTTGTGTCACTGCTGAAAAATGAAACAACTCTTTAAAATCTGTTACTTAAATCACTAAATTCTCAACACAATATCACGTTCTCTTCTAAAAAAAAAAAAAAGGCAAACTTTTACAATCTTTTACATCATTCACTAAATTACTAACATACCATCATATCCTCTAAAATACATCATGCAAAATTGTTAACATAATGTCACACCCTCTTCTGAAAATAAAAACCAGAAAAACCACTGGCTCACAAGTCAAGAACACTCCTGGTCTGCCGGCTTTCCTCTCACACCTGTCATGCAATTCTGTTGCTTTCAGAGCCCAAGAAAAATGAACTTGATTAGGTCAATACACTTCTAAGTTGTCACTTGTTTCATCAGTCCAAAATTTTTTTAAATTAGACCTTCTTCTGTTCTGGTACAACCATGAAAAACTTCTGCAGTGCAACTGTCATGTTATCTGGGAAACAGAAAAGAAACAAAATAGCTGATAAATTAAAGTCTTTAAATTTAATTGTAAGTTGTTTTTTTTTTTTTTCCTTCCAAGATGAACAATTTGGTTTAAACTAATCAAATTTGGGGAAACAAAACACTCAGTCACATAACATAAGCTGACATATCTTCATCTTCCGTCTTTAATCTCAAAATAGTGAACTGACCCTCAACCAATTCTCCCTAAAACCTTCAACTCTTTCACTCGAAACCCTTGACTGGATGGAGCGGGAAAAAAAGGGGGGGGGGGGGGTGTCCATGATAAAATCCTAAGTTACAAATAACCCCCCCCCCCCCCATCCACCTTAAAAAAAATAATGTTATATGCATTGTAAAAAAAGACAGAGCTAGCTACACGAAAAGCAGCTGCTGGGAGACTCTTCCAGGCCATAAACCGAGGGTTTCTTAGCAAAAGAGAAATTGGCAAGAGGATGAAAATGGCTGTTTACCATTTCACCTATGTGCTAGTCCTGACCTACGGTTGTGAGTCATGGGCAATGACAACAGCTCATAGAAGCCATCTTCAGGCCACGGAAATGAGATATCTGATAAAGATGGTCAAAGTGACAAGAAGAAACAAAGTCTGCAATCAGACAATATGTCAAGATCTTGATACCTAGTCATTACAAACCCGAGCGTATCAGTCACAATTACAATGGTCTGGACATGTATGCAGAATGGAAGAAAATTGGCCACCATGGCAGGCATGGGAAGCTAAGAACCAGAGAACCAGACCTCCAGGGTGATCTAGGGTCTGCTGGGAAGACAACACCCAACAGTTCCTAACTAATAGAGGACTGGAACGGAACAAAACCTGAAAGAAAACTGCTGATAGAGATGACTGGCGATCTCTCTGACAAACCTCTACACTCCAAGGTAGAAGAGGAGCGACTAAGTCAGTAAGTGGAGATTTGTAAAAGAAGCGAAGCCAATTCAACAGCGTCTCTGGGAAAAAGGGTTGAAAGCTTGTTCACTGGTTGGATTCTACAGCTGAAGTTTTACATGATAAGACAGCAATTCTCACAGCAAAACTGCTTAGTCATCTCTTTTAATATACATGTTAGGTTACAGTGTCACAATACTTTGTTTCCCCAATGGGTCGCGGTAACACAGAAGTAAAGCAAACATGTACAAAATTAGTTTATCCTTACTAACGTCATAAACAACCCAAGTATATATTAGCCGTTTGTGGTTTTACTTGGCAATTTAACATCCAGTAGTTTGCCACTGCTTGTCCAATCCTTCTTCTTCTTTCTGGCGTTTACCGGCTGTAGACTCTGGCAGAAAGTTTTAGTGCAACCACTTCTGGACTTGTTCCAGAATTTCACTTTTGTGTGCACACCTGTTTGGTTTATTTGTTTGCAGACTGGCTCTTCATCTCTCAGGCAGATGCTCTCTGACTGAGGGAAGCACCCTTAGTTAGAACATCTCGGAGGAAAGTGAGAGGAAGAGCAAGTGTTGAGTTGAGTTGATTCAAGAACCGATATCACAGCACTCGAGGCATTTCCATAAGTGCTCTGTCTCCATCTTCAGCAGCCAATGAAGAGTTCCGATACAAATGGTGCCAGTAGCATTCTGATTAAACGTTCGTCTTGCCTTTCCTCTGAGCCTTGAGCATCTGCCAGAACCTCTTGTCACTCTCCCCTGCATCAATCTCACCAGACTGTGGTGATCCATCTGCTCCTCCGAACTGTAAATGCTCTCCCACAAGGCACTAACCACGTCTGCCTTACCATGCATGCATCAGAATTCCACCAAGTTGTGCAGAGCCAGCCAGTCTGTCAGCCTGTTCACTTCTCAACACACCAGCATATCCAGGTGAAAAAATCTAGACAATACTCCTCACCTGTGTCCTCCGCAGTGAAGCATGTCACTCTGCATAAAGCATGCCTGTCCTGACCTTCCTCAGCTTGCTTTCTGAGTCAGTTACAATCACGATGTGTGTGTATGACGTGTAGAGAGCAAGAAAAATATAGATAAATAATGTAGCAGAAACCTGCAAAAAAATGAATCCATTGCCCCAAGTACCCAAGAAGCACATGACAAATAAAGAAACCCACAATGCTGGGCTACAAACTGGCATCAATGAGACGACAATAGAAGAAGAAAAAGAAGCTTTCACAATTTAATGGTCACACTGTTGTTCAAATCAACACAAAGGCGGTTTGCTGCTAAATGTAACTCTAAATCCTGGTGTGGATGTTACAAGCCAACCCTAGGATATGCTGGCTGTTTGACAAATTTACAGCAGTTTGCCACAGCTTTCTGAACGTGAATGGTTCAATGTTCATAAGTGTACTTACCCATAAATCTGTAGAAAGCTTTGGGCTTTGACTTCCATGCCACAAAGATGACGTATACAGGGATACCCGTGCAGATTATTCCCAAGCCGATACCTGAAATGAAACTTGATATGTTATGCACATTTTAGTCATTGCCGTTTTCATGCCTGGCTGAAAAAGGAAGAGAGTTGCTGAGAGAGGCCAAAGGTGCTAGGCTGGGTTCCATCCTTAATTCTGAAATAACTGCATAGGATAGAAGGGAATGGAAGAGTATATAGAGAGTCCTGTGTGAGGTATAACCTAACCATAGAATGATCATGATCTAGAAAAAAAAACATCTGGACACCTGCCCAAAGGTCATGGGTTTCTTCTTGTTCTTTGTTCACCGGCTGTAAGCTCCATTTGAAAGTCCTAGTTGTTTGTCTATTTAAACTTTGGCTTTTTGCCAGGGTCTACGTTTTGTGTGTACATCCATTTTACTGACTTATTTGTGTGCAGTTGGTTGTTCCTTGCCGCTCTGGCTGAAGCACTCCAGCTTCCAATTAGTCGACTCATGACATGCTTGTTGGTGGGGTGGGGAGTGGGGGTGGGTAGGTAAAAAAGTTACAACAGTCATCCTTGACAGTCCTAAAAAATAAAATAATAAATGGGTCTGATATTAATTTTGGAATGCCAAAGGGCTTATTCACATGGATGTCTTATTTTTTCCAGTACAAACATTTTTTTTTTAAATCATTCAACATGTATATCATGTATTTTGTTAGACCAAAAAACATCCACCCATCTGATGATCTTAACTAGGCCTTATATTCAGAGTAGGGCTTACATTATAAGCCAGGGCTTATTTTCATTCAAGGTTTTCCCCCAGTAAAACACTTTATTAAGTGACCTCACTGATCCTTTAAACAGCTGTAAGAGACATGCATCTTCAAATGAACATCAATGGACAGCCAAAAATAGATAACTCCACAACAATGGGATAAACAACAGCAATATAAAAAATATTACAGCACTTAATAAATAAATCTAAAATATTTACAAGCATCCTACCTGTTTCGATCGGGCTAGCATACAGTGGCAATATAACCAAGTAGACAGTGACGATCGTGTATATGATTGGCCAGATGAGAGCAACCTGTGAATGCCAATTTCCATAAAATAAACGTTAACAAACATTCATTCACTTTTAAAAAGAAACCAAATTCTTTGTTTGCATTTAAATTAGGGAAAAAAGTAGTATTCAATCCATAAAACTAATTTTACAGTCAAATTATTTAGTACGGTAGCTTCAAAAAGTTCAAGAAATCTGAGGACAATGTGGAAATAAGTAACACTACATTTATTTACACTACAGTTCCTTGAAAACAGTTCCCTTCGGCAGCTACAAACATTTGCCAGTGGTAACACACTTGTTGGAAACACTCCTGGAACCCATTCTTGGGCACCTCCTTCAACTGCTTTGTTGCACTGGCAATAACATACTTGATCGGGAAGGCAGCGGATCTATTCTCATTTTCCCCACATTAGGGCCCTAAAGCCCACACAGGGAGTAGGTAGCTAAACCAAGGACATTTTCAACTTCAATGATGCTATGTTAACAAGACACAAACAAACTTTTGTTTGAGAATAAATGAAGATCGTGTCTGCCATGTCATTTTTTTTTTTTCAATTTTTTCAAGGTTACTATCAACATAAAATTATAATCTTCATGCCATAATAACTAATTCAAACATGAGTCAACTTTTCTGGGAACTTTTTTAAGATACCTTGTATAATCTTCATACAAAAATTGTTAATCAAACCACAATTTAATCGTACTATCTGTCAACATGAAGCATACTGCATCAAACAGTTTGCATGCATGTTAAACGCACATATACACATCTTCATACCTTAATTGGTCTGCGCATTTCTGGCCTCTTCCACCTCAAGTACAGCAAGACTACAATAGCCATACCAATAGACAGCCAGGTTGCAAACCCAACATAGTTGATGAGAGCATAGATGTCCGATGAGGCCAAATATAACAGTGATAGGGCTCCCTGGAAATAAATGAAACAACATGTCAAGTTTCAGAATTCATAGATTAGCAGTGTCACTTAACATGGCCATTCATGTTTATCTAGTTTCTATTATGTTTAGGTCTTTAGTCACAGACTATTTTCCATGTTCTGTTATGGGTGTTTTGTTCTGACTCTTCTGAGATTGGAGGAGAGAAAGACAAAAGTGATAGTGTTTGACTGCTGACTACTGCTGCTGAGGGCAATGTTCAACTTTTGGTCCTGACAGATGTTATTTTAGTGCAGTCTGTTTTAGTAACATTAAACTAATAAATACTGTGTCTAATGGAGGTCCATTAATAGCCCTATTGTACAGTCTAAGAAGTTGAGAAAACTATTATGTGTATGGAGTTATCAATCAACGCATGATGAACTATTTTGTTTTGTACCTAAAGAGCTAAGGAGATTTTTGTTTATCAGAGAAGCTTAACTATGCTACATCCATAACTTAACTACATCTATAACTCAACTACATCTATAACTCAACTACATCTATAACTCAACTACATCCATAACTCAACTACATCCATAACTCAACTACATCCATAACTCAACTACATCCATAACTCAACTACATCTATAACTCAACTACATCCATAACTTAACTACATCCATAACTTAACTACATCCATAACTTAACTACATCCATAATTTAACTACATCCATAACTTAACTACATCCATAATTTAACTACATCCATAACTTAACTACATCCATAACTTAACTACATCCATAACTTAACTACATCTATAACTTAACTACATCTATAACTTAACTACATCTATAACTTAACTACATCTATAACTTAACTACATCTATAACTTAACTACATCTATAACTTAACTACATCTATAACTTAACTACATCCATAACTTAACTACATCTATAACTCAACTACATCCATAACTTAACTACATCTATAACTTAACTACATCTATAACTTAACTACATCTACAACATTATACAAAAGTAAAGTAAAGAAAACTGTCCCAAGCCTTCAGGCATACTGGGCATAGAGGGCTAGACCTATATTTTACAGACCAATGGGCACTTGGTGGGTGAAGTGCTGAACATTACATCACGCCAGCCCCCTTTACTTCCAAGGACTATATATACCTGGTACCCACTCAAAGCAAGGTCCACCTGGAAGCTAATGTCATTTTTGAAAAAAGTCAGGTATCGTCAGGACACAAACCCACAACCTTCCAATCTGCAGACAAGCGTCTAGGTGCTACACCAGGGTGGGTCCCTTACATTACATAAATTACATCCATATATTAATTATACCAGTGATTAAAAATGTAAAATAAAAGAAATATAAGGAGGTGGAAAAAAAATGGTGAAAACAATTAGCAAAATGAATAATATGTGACTGAAAAAGAAGGAAATTTTTTGTTTGTTGTTGTTGTTGTTGTTGTTGTTGTTGTTGTTGTTGTTAGTTAACATCATCCTCAGTGCACTTTGACCAATTTCCCTTCCTATGTAAATCTTGCAGCATGTAGCAGCTGGACACCAGTTCTGTGGCTATTTATTATTTGCATTTGGCTTCCAGCATAGTGTTTGTGTCTGTCCACATGCCTTTTAAGCTGTTCTTGCAGTGTGATCATGGTCGCAGATTCACAGTCATCACTTAGTTCTTGCATGGGTTTTTTGTTTGTTTTATTTGTTGTGTGTTTTTTTCAGTTAATTAAATAATAAATATGTTTTGTTTTGTGCCTTCACTGATTTTTAATTCTAATATTTTGTGTTTAAGCTAATGTGTCCAGCACATTTATGAAATTATATAATATGCAAATGCTATGTTTTCAAGCTCCTCATTTTTGTCTTTCTTTGGGAAATCTAATTCAGTCACAAATGTTTGAAGACATCAGATGTATTAGCTAAAAGTTGTAAAATACATATCTAGAAACAAAAATACTGAACAAACTTCCTCCCAGGCATAGACTGTAAACTCTGGTTGTTCGTCCACTTCTGTATTTTGCTCTTATTCTAGGACTTAAGTGTGCACATCAGTTTTTTTTTCTTTTACATCTAGCTAATTTGCATGCATACTTTTAGTTTTATATGCCTCTCAGGTCTACGCACTCTGACTTTTGAAGAAAAAACACCAATTCTATCTACACTGGTCACATTCCTAGATGGGAATCTGTTTCTAGGATGATCACAGAGAGATGTAGACAGGTCTAGGTTTAGGTTTAGATGACGGATCAACATCATGGCACAAGGGTAGTAACCCATAAGTGCTCCGTTCTACTTCTAACTCAAGCCTGAGTTAAAAGAATCTCAGTGCAGTGCATGAACACTGTAGCGCCGGCGATGATCTTAAAATATTTTGGTTAGACTTTTCACTCCAAATTTTGCCCGGGCAGCATCATTAGGCTACTCTTTTTCAATTTCCAACTGCAAAGGAATTGTTTACGTGTGCAACAATACAAACAGGCATCTGTTCTTACTACCCAGAGACTAGGAAAAATTACTAGAAGTCCATGTGCCAAATATCCTAGCCTTCACTGGGGCTTGAACTCGGGACTTCCAGCACTCGAGGTGGATTCCATAAGGCCCCATAGGCAGGTCTAGACCAATAGGAGCCCTGGCGGTAGTGACCTATCAATTGTGTTTCAGCACTTCTGCAACCCCTGAACAAACGAAGCAGAAAAGAATTGTTGGCAAATTTTTTTAAACCGTTAGCTGACTTATAAGAAGAGACAGGGTTACAAATATCAGCATTAAACAAAGAGTTAGAATAAGACCATGTCTGGATTATATTGGCAGACAGAGAATGAAATGGTTCAGCCATCTAGTGTGAATGCATCCAGACGAAACTGCATATAAGACTTTTTACAGCAGATCATCTGGGAGGAAGGCGAGAGGAAGATTAAGAAAGATATGGATAAATGGTGTAGCAAAAAACTGCAAAAAGATGACAAATCTATCACCCAAGCCACCTGAAAAGTGCAAGACAAATATAGATAACCACGACACTGGGCTACAGCCTGGTATCAGCGAGATGAAAAAAGAAGAAGTTGACTTACCATAAACAGACAGGCAGGCATAGGGGTCAGTCTCTGGATCTGAACCATGCTGAGAATCTGTGGCATGTGACCCTCTCGGCCACCAACATAAAACAATCTGTAACAGATCATGGTGAGACACTAATTATTTACACTTGCATATAAGGTATTGCAAACACATGAAAGTTGTCAGAAATATCCATATATAAGGGTACTCGCAGTTGCAACTTCTTTGCAAAGGGGTCACTCCATAGTTGCTCCATTCCTGTGCCTACAAAAACCACACAGAATGTCCATCACTGTCCCTTGAGAAAAAAAATGGACACAGACTGTAGTTTAAGCAAATCCAACAGAATACATGTAATGATGCTATAAATAGGGATAACGTCAGAGGATGACTGGCATAATTGGGCAAGTCCCTGATAGCATGGGTTTCACGGGGAGATGGTGAAAAGACAAGAGTGAGTGAGTCACGTGTGGATGCGAGATCTGGGGGATTGAGAATGAGGTGGTCATTCGGTGACTGGGCCCCAGACTGGAAGGATGTGAAGCTGAATCTGTGAAGGTGAATCCAGAATGAAGAGTGCACGTAGATCTGAATCAGAGTCGAATGAATGATCGTGAAGGGCAGCCGTTGTGTTACACGGTTTGATTGTTGAGCCAGCCGTGTATATGCCAGTGTCCATCGTCTGAAGCATGTCTGGAGCTTTAATGCATGAGCAAGGCGAGATTGCCCGAATGGTGTAAGTTGATTCATCTGTTGATTCGTGTCTTGTGCTACAGTGATATTAAACCTGTGAAATGTGTCAGCTGGTGTCGACCGTCGTTTGAAGTTGTGTGGCCATGGAGAGAAATGTCGTCTGGTTAAATGAGCTGTGACCTAACACCTAGACAACAGAGTCAGTGTTGAATCTGCACTAGAGAGATCAAGTGTGGAGGAGACACAAGTACATTCATTACAATACACATGTATTAAATGCTCTTTGTATCACTGTTGCTACATAAGGCATGTGTTTCCATCTGCAGTCTATCGAAAAGCTGTCCTTCTCAAAGTGTCAGGGGCATTCTGCAAACATGTTCAAACCATTTCCATCTTCTTCCTATGATAAAATTTTCCTCCTCAGTTCTTCGTCTGATCTTGTTTGACAAAAATATCCGCAGGACTCTCCTTAGATATTTATTTTGAAAAGGTCAGAAAGATATAGATCTTATAAATGTATCTTCTTGTTTACTTCCTTAGGTTGCAGTTGAGATGTTATGTTGTAGTTTACAGCTAGTCTGTGATATTTTGACCTTTTGTCCTAACAGATTTGATTTAATCAAGCCCTTAATTAGTTACCTTTTATGACATGCACCCCCTTCCCTGCACCCCCTTCCCTGCACCCCCCCCCCCCCATAAAGCCCTGGATCCCACAGGGGGATAAATGTATTAATTATCTAAATGTTTCAGAAGAGTCAAAAATACTCATACAGAACCAAAAGATCTATCTGACAAGAGCTTAACCAAATTTAATCTTTAATGTTAATTACAAAAGTAAAGTGAAGGAGGTGAAGCTAGATGCTAATTTGAATAAACCATTCAGCGTTTGATAGGTGATCTTGTCAATATCATGCCAGCCATGTTAACTACCCAGGGCTCTGCATAGTATCCATTTTGGCTGGATCAACCTAGGTGACAAGGACACTTTACCTAGGAGCCAAGATCATTAAAAAAAAAATATGACTAGATGCAGATTTGAATAAACACCTTCGGGAATGTCAATTTAATACATACATATGATGCATTAATTAAGTATTCTTTAAACAGATAAACTGGGGATGTCTTCAAGCCCTGTACTCACCGGGAAGTAGTAAACAGGATTCCATTGACACCGCCAAACGTGGAGAGTGAGACAAACACTGGCATGCACCACCACATCACTCCGTAGAGACGCTTGGAGAACATCTGTGAAGATTCAGATGTTTCAGAATGTGTCAATATGAAACTATCAAAAGTCTGAGCTGTTATGTACCCGATCAGTTACATATGAGTACAGTTAGGTATTTGTAATAAGTTAAAAGTTGTGTCTGGGAATGGTGTATGGTTAAACATTGTGTTTGGGAATGGATAGTGAGTCTTTATACAAACAACTTTAGTTTGCAGTTATGTACAGGTTTGGAAGTAATGAATGATGAGGAAAGAATCTGGTGTATATATGAGTCAAATACAACACAGCATCTGAACTTTTTTAGCCCCATGTTGTTTCAAAGTAGAAAGCCAATTTGGCACAATAAGCACAGTGAAAAGGGTATCAGTGTATGACTTTTGGGAATACTGTATGTACTGTGCTGCACTTCAAATATTTGACCAGATTAATGTTGCATATCAATAACACACATGAAATAAATTATATCACACCATTTGCTGTGTTGATACAATGACATATGTTGAGTAAACATCATTCCTGCTTGGGACAGACAAAGTTAATAACGGTGGGACAGACAGTTAATAACGGTGGGACAGACAAAGTTAATAACGGATACTACCCATTTTGCAAGGCAAGAATACTTTTAACTTCTAAAATGTAGGCAATTGCTTTGGCAGGATGTAACCAGGCATAAATTGTCTATGATGCATATCTACATGTGGCAAATGAAAAAAATGTGTTCTCAGAATGTTTGTTACTTGTTGCCAGAAATTACACTCATGAACCGGGTGCTGCAACCACCACCTTCAAACACAAGGGAAAACGGCTTGGCAACTTTGTCACAGAAACACCCAAATATAAATATAAAATGTTTACTGCAACAACAACAACAAAAGACAGCAAGAAAGATAACTCACCACTGCCACAGCTGCTCCTCCGAGAACCTCCTCCGGACTGACTGTGGTGAAGTAAGCGATGTTGACGAACACATACACAGAAGTCACCAGGATAATGGAAATAGATATTGCCTTTGGCAAGTTTCTGCATGTAAAAGATAACAAAAAATTATATATTTTTTAAACACAAATCATTATAAACATTACAATTTTCAAAAATCAGGACTGGTTTAGGGCAGCTCTTAAGAGCTCTCTTTTTCACCAGGTTTGAAAGCTTCATGACATAGGATGACCATCACTTGAGAACTTCTGTTTTTGCTTGAGTTATTCTACTTTTCACTTCTTTAATACACTACTGATCTACTATTGTCATCAAGTTCTTTAATACAGTATCCATCAGCTGTTATCATGTTCTTTAAAACAGTATCCATCTGTTGTTATCAAGTTCTTTAATACATTATCCATCTGCTGTTATCAATTTCTCTAATACATTATCCATCTGGTGTTATCAAATTCTTTAATACATTATCCATCTGCTGTTATCAATTTCTCTAATACATTATCCATCTGGTGTTATCAAGTTCTTTAATACATTATCCATTTGCTGTTATCAAGAATATATATATTATCCAGCTACTGTTATCAAGTTTATATATTATCCAGCTGCTATCAAGGTAATTTATTTGCTATAGATTTTTCTCATTTCTTGCTTCAGCTTTCGTACCATTTACATTCACACTGTATCCTAGAAGATATTTTTTTCCAATGTAACTAATGTTTAAACAATTGTGTCCATTATTTCTTGTTATTGCATTTCATTTTTAAGGATCGAGACTGTTTCCTTGTTTAGTCAATTTAAAAAAATGTATTATTATTATAAGCCTAATGGCAAATAAATACAAATTATTTAAAATAATGTTTTTTAAAAAAACTTTAAAAATAACTTTTATGAATGGGGTGGGGGGGGGGGGGGTGGTTATAGATTAGCCAACCAATATGACGTGAGGGGGGAAGAGGATGATCCCAATTCACATAATTTTTCGGGGGTGGGGGGGGGTGTTGAAGTGCCTAAGCCTTGATGTTTCCGTGCCCCTGGGTACATGTTCATTATATAAATGTTTTACTATATATATATATATATAAACTCATGTGTCTCTCCATTTCCTTAAACAGATACAGCCTTTCATGAATATGTTAATGCACGCAAATACATGGACACATACATCGCTGCAGAGAAGTTCTCTCATTCTTCTTCGCGTTCACCAGCGGTAAACTCAAGTTCTGGTTGTTCGCTCACTTCTGGAGTTTGATCTTGTTTCAGAACTTAAGTTTTGCGTGCACATCCGTTTTACATATCTGTATTATATGCATGCATACTGTTGTTTCCTCTCCTCTCCTGTAGACACACTAGGACTTCAAAGTGAACACTCCAGATAGACGCCTTTTAGGACATGCTTGCACAAGGGCTATGGGTATTCCACAACCCCTTGCCCCAACCACCCCCCCCACCCCCACCCCGCCATCACGAATACAAATGTGGCAACGGAACCTCCACGCAGCGAAGTCTACATGTATGGACGCACAGTCATGAACCTGTATAAGTATGTGTATAGATACAGATGTGTACAGATAAAACTCGGGCAGACAAAAGAAGTTAAACACCTTCAAGCACCCAGGATGTGTTCGTCTCAGACCCACCCACAAGCGACTTCACCTTACTTCGTAACCGGGTTGTAGTGCCCCGGTATAACCTTGCTATAAGGCTGTGCGGTTAAACGGGATTTTCTTTCGGGTTTTGTAGCTGTTAGGTTCACATCCTTCTGATGTTAATCCTACATCTACAGACTGATTCTGGAGGGGAACCCTTTTTTTTCCAAACACCCTTGTAAGTAGACAAACTTGCATGTGTACTCTCCCCCCCCCCCCCCCACCTCTCTCTCTCCTGTTTAACATTGTCTCTCATTTCTTTTATTCTTTCTTCTTTCTTTCAAATTACACACACATACAGGTAGGTGGAGAGCATCTGAAGGCCGGTCGTTCACCCTACAGACAAAGTTATCTCTGAGCACAGAAGAGCGACCCTCTCAACTCAACAACACATGTAAAGGCGGCTCTCCCTACTCAACGCAGACCAAATGTGGTTACCCGGTTAAAAATATTTGTTATTGTGCGTTCGGAAAAGAGGGTTACTTCTGTTGTGTCAGCTTTCACGGATGCTATGATATTTGAGCCTTGTAGCCTTCTTCGTTAATCATCATCATCTTCTTCGTCCCTTCCTCTTCTACCGCTTCGAGTATCGAGGGAAATGTAAGCTTCTGCTTGCTGCTCTTCTGGTAGCCTCGACCATCGACACATTGTGCTGTTATAGAGTCTCTCTGATGTTATCATTCCTTGTTGTTCTGGGTCTACCTTGTGCTCTATGTCCTTTTCTTTTAGTATATGCCTTGTATGGTATGGCGTCACAAGGCATTCTATGTGGGCAAACTATCTGATTTGCTGACTTTGTGTGCAATTTAGAACTAGTTCTGTGTCGACTTTTTTCTTTTACGAACTCATTCTTAATTTTACCTCTTCTGGTCACTCCTGCAGCCCCTTGTAACCAGAAGTGTGAAGTTGTTGGTTTGTTGAGTTACTGGTTGGAAGACCTCTAGACTTTTAGAGACTTTGGTTCTAACTTAAGTAGGCTGCTGAACTGATGATCTGATTGTGTGAACCGAGCGAATTTTGGATACCTGTCCAGCGATTGGAGCAGCGGCTGGCCGAGCGGTTACAACCAGGGGCTCTCATGAAGGAGACCCGGGTTCGGTGCCCGGTAAGGTGATGGAGCCTTTCCGTCGAGGGTAAAATTAAACATTCTAACCTGTACAGTTCATGGTGTCAGCAGTAGCCATATGGTCCTAAATCCTGAGACTCATGACCCCCTGTCTATCCCGCCCTAAACAAGTGGCACGTACAGACAGCAGTGACAGTCCGGCAATTATATGTAGTAATCTTCTTCTTCGGCATTCCGAGCTAAACAGCTCATTATTGCGGATATCGCTTACCTTCGTGTATCTCTCTGATTTGCCTTATTTTACCAGCTGGTGACTCCGTGTCTTTGTAGGTGCCTCTACAATATCTCTCCATCGTTTTCTTGCTCTGTTTCGTGGTGTACTTCCATTCAACTCTTATACGTTAGCAGTTTTTGTCTCTGTTCTCTGCCATTCTCTATATATGCCCTAACCAACACAGTCAATTAGCCCTCGCGACGCCATTAATTAGTGATGATCTAAAGCATGACCTACTTTTGATCTAAAGTAGGTCATATTTAAACAGATTGAATTGTATCGTTACTTCTCACTCTCCATTCTCCACTAGTTGCATTTTTGATCGGTCAAAATGCGTCGTCGGACTATTCTCAGATGTTTGTAATAAGGCTTTATCTTTGTAGCTGTATTCCAAGTTTCAGTATAATGAATACACTATATTTTTAAAATAATAATTTTTTTTTTAAGCTATCTATGCAACATAATATTTCCTGGCAATGTTCCTGCCTAAATAAAGTTCATTTGTGTGCCAGATATGCATCATGGTAATATGGTTCCACAGTCCGGGGTTTGACTTATAGAACTTTTTTTTTTATTTTTTTTATTTTTTGCTATTGCGGTTTTTCTAGGTGCATTGTACGTTCCGTAGTTTGCCATTGCTGCTAAACGGTCAACTCTCTGTTCCAGAGTAAAAAACCACTGTCGTTGCCAAACTGCCTGCAGCTGGGATCGAACCCGACTCCCTAGCATTAACAAGCGCGTTCGCAAAGGCCAAAGCCACTGACCAAAGAAATGTATTTTGTTATAATTCTTCTTTCATGATAACTTGATCGTTTATATACTTAGAATATATTTATTAGTATCTTTATGTGACAAATGCGTCTTAATCTTATCAGTTTTATTTATTTATATGTTGATGGCATCGCGGTTCTTCTGTCTGGTGTACTTTTACTCATGCCCTTCTTCTTCTGTGTTCGACATCAGTCATGCTAAACATTGAGTCCCGTCTGGGTCACAAAAAGGATTGTGCGCTTAAGGTCGCCACCGATCTCCCATAGCTTCTCTTGCAATGTGGCTCCCTTGGGCCAGATCCAGTCTTTGCTGGGAGAGGTTAGGACAATACTGCAGTATGTGCTTTAGGGTCTGTCTTTCTGCTCCACAATCACAGGCAGCAGATTCTTTTATGCCTATCCTGTACAGGTGTGCTCGAAGACCACAGTGTCCTGTCTAAAAAGTCTAAAAATTGATGTTTGTTCTTTCCTGTTGAGTTTGTTTTACTCATGCCCAACACAGACGGTCTTCTATGCCATGAGGTCAAACATCTAGCCTCTTTCTTTCTTTTACTTCCTGCGTCCTTCCTTCCCTTCAATGGTCCACCTTTACTTCCGTTTTCTCTATTTTTTAACAATTTTGCCAAAGAATGTATATTGTCTCCGTCTGATGTTGGCAACGAGTTATATTCGTAATTTCTTTCAGCATGTCTCAACTATGCTTCCCATCTGTTCATGTATTCTCTTCAAAAATATAGAATGTAGCCATTTGGTACAGTTACCCATTCTCAGACATCTGTTGGCGCCGCCTACGTTTATGTGCAACAGCTGGAGATACCAACTGTGTTATCGTGGGGACCAAAATGCGGCGTCGTATAATCGAGCCAACTACGTTTACCTACATACTTACAGTCACGTGGATACCGTCACATCAATCATATGGGACTCTCCCACCCCTTCTAAATATCTGCAAGAGACTCACCCCCCTCCACCCCATTATTTGAAAGACCCAGTCCCCCCCCCCCCCCCCCCCATGTGTATTGTGTACAGACGTTCTATTTGTTTAGAATAAATTTATAATAATTAATACTATGGCTCTCCGTACGGGTTCCGGGGTCTCATTGTGGGGAAAACAAGAACAGACCCACTGCCTTCACAAAAGCATGTCGTAGGAGTCGACTAATTGTGAGCTTCCTTCAAGGTCGGAGTGCCTCTGCATCAGCGACAAGGAACCAACAATCTGCATGCAAATAAGTCAGACCTGTGAAACGGATGTGCATGCAACACTCAGCTTCCTGAACAGGACTAGAGTCTAGGAATGTAGGAACACCAAGAAATTTCGGCCAGAGTTTACAGTTGGTGAAGAAGAAGAAGAAGAAGAAGAAGAAGAAGAAGAAGAAGAAGAAGAAGAAGAAGAAGAAGAAGAAGAAGAAGAAGAAGAAGAAGAAGAAGAAGAAGAAGAAGAAGAAGAAACTTTTTTAAATTTGTATCGTTACATTTCTTCAATATAATAATAATAACAACCCCCCCCCCCTCCCCACACACACACACACACCTTCCAACAACGTTTTTGTCTATGGTTGCTCCTGTGTTCGGCACTGAAGGAGCAAGTTAACGACCGGCCAAACGTGAATATCCAACGACTTCCCCAAGGTCGCTGTCCTTATCAAAGACTGGCACGTACTTGACACTACAGTGTTGGACAGCTGCGTATTATGCCTGTTTGTATTGTGATTTTCAACAATTCGTGCATGCTCTGTCTTTCTTAAATAGGACATAGGCAACCTGGCATAGAACAGTGAAGGCTAAAGTAGGGAAGAATAATATTGGGACCCCCCCCCCCCCCCTTTTTTTTTTCCCCATGTATAGTGCATAGACGTTCTTTCTCTCTTTTCTTTAGAGATTTCGTTTATAATAATTAATATTATATACCTTTATAGTGCAAATATAGATCGTTACATTTCTTCAATTTAAAAGTAAAGTAAAGAAGTAAAGGACCCTTTTCCACGCATTTAGGCGTATAGGGCATATAGGGCTAGACCTATATTTTTATAAATCAATCGGCACAAGATGGGTGATGTGGTCAGCATCACACCGGCCGCCTTGACTTCCCGGGACTGTATCCGGTACCGACCCAAGGCTGGGTTGACCTGGGAGTCAGGGTCATTTTTTTTTTAAAAGTCCGGCTCCGCCAGGGTGCGAACCCACGATCTTTCGATCCGCATGCGAGCGTCAACTGCTACGCCACGGCGACTCCCTTCTTTTCCCTCCCCCACAATGATCTGTCTATGGCGGCCTCCCTGATCGGCATTGATCTAGCATGCTAGCGACCGGTGAACATTCAACGACTTGATTGAGTTTGCTCTCTCCTTATCATTGCCTCTCAATGTTAAAACACCTCGCGTATGCCTGTTTGTATCATGATTTTGAACAATTCGTGCGGGTTCGGTAATTCTTAAATAGGCCACAGGCAACCTGGCACAGAATATTGAAGACTAAAGTGGAGTTGAAAGAATGAGAGCCTTGCGACAGATGGTCAATGCTATAGCAAACTGACCTACATAGACCGAATATACCAAACTAAGGTGGCCATTCGCCCCTGATTTCTAGAGACAGTCCTTTTAGGGCTGACCGGCTGTAAACTTCGGCGGGAAGTTATGGCTGTTCGTCCACTTATGGACTTTAGTCTTGTTCTAGAACTTTTTTTTTACATCCGTTTTACAGATCTGGCTTATCTGTATACAGTTAGTTCCTCACGTGCCAGGCAGATGCACTCCGACTTGAAACGCTCTAATTAGTCGACTTTTACGACATGCTTGTAATAGGGGTAGGTCTATTCTAACCCCCTCTCCCACCTTCAATGGACCCCAGAACCCACATGGAGAAAACCAAATCTTATATCCAGGATTATTTAAAGAGAGCTCAATATACTCTAGAATGGCTGTCACTAAAAACATTTAGAGGGGAAAAAAAGAGGGAGGGGGTGGTCAGACATTTTCCTGTCGAATGTTCGTATATAAAAAATCAACGGAGAACTAGTTACTTTATTCTAAACAATATATTTAATGTGGCAAAACTAATAACAAGAATACGTGGACAACAAGATAATGAGGAACAAATGTGAGTGAGAAGAAGAAAAGAGGCGTTCAGAATTACGGAATGAAAAAAAAAACACAGCAGGAGCAGCAGCAGAGCAGAAGTAGCAACAGCAGAGTAGTAGTAGCAGCAGCAGTAGTAATAGTAGTATTAGCAGCAGCAGTAGTAGCAGCAGCAGTAGTAGCAGCAGCAGTAACAGTAGTAGTAGCAGCAGCAACAGTGGTAGTAGTAGTAGTAGATGCAACAGCAACAGTAGCTGGGAAAAGAGAGCAGGATCCAGAATGTCTCAAGACCAAGGGAATGGTAATGAAAATGATCACATTCTGTCTTACCTGTATGGATCTTTCAGCTCTTCAATGACGAAGTTAAGATAATTCCTGTGGAAAAACAAAAAACAAAGGAGTGCAGTAACTGTAAAATCAACTGCCTCATAATATATATATTTATATTTTTCTTCAAATATAGATATAAAGAGATCTATCCACGATAACAACTAACAGTCAGCAGCAAGGAGACAAAGGTTATAGTACAAGGTGTTAACGATAGACCTGCAGTCTACACTGACGGTGAAGAGCTGGAGACACTTGACCATTTTACCTGTATTGGATCCATAATGAAAACCAAACTATCGCTGAATCAAGAAATCAACATCAGGATAGGTAAGGCAGCAATAACAATGAGAAAATTAACAAAAAGAGTTTGGGAGGATTGAAAACTCACGATTAAAACAAAAAATATATCAGACTTGTGTTCTCAGCACTCTGCTTTATGGCAGTGAAACTTGGTCAGCTTATTCACACCAGGAGAGACGACTAAATTATAAATAGCTTTCACATGCGATGCCTAAAAAGAATACTTGGCATGAAGTGGCAGGACAAGATCACAAACACTGAGGGATTGGAAAGAGCAGGTATTACAAACGTCTTCCCAACGCTCAGTCTACGAAGACTCAGGTGGCTGGTCATACCTGGAGAATAGAGCATAGCAGAGTCCCTAAGGACATCATCTATGGTGAACTAAAGACGGGTAGAAGATGTCGAGGCCGACCTCTACTACAAAATAAAGATGTGTGCAAGCTGGGCATGAATGATACAGGTACTGAGGTGGGCTCATGGAAACAAAATGCTATGGACCATGTTTTGTGGAGGTGGCACATCAGGAAGGGAATATGGATAAAGGAATAAATTATTGTAGAAAGGATGAGAGCTGAGCATCTGAGAGGAAACAAAATAAACACAAATGTTGACAGCAATGGTCTTTAAATCCTATGCTATAGTTGTTTAAGACTTTTCTTAAAAGTGGGCGGGACTTGCTAGTCACACTCGCCATCGCCATGGGCTGTGAGTCCATGCCCGCTCATAGTGCAATACACCTCTATCATCTGGGAAAACGGAAAGGTGCCATTCATCACAGAATGCCAGGAATTGTGGTTAGTGGTCATAACATAAACAAGCTGCGTTATGCCGATGACACCGTCTTGATAGAGAAAAGTCAGAAAAAACTACAGGAATTGATAGATACGATGGTGGTAGAAAATGATTAATTAGGCCTCAGTTTAAATATTGGGAAGGCAGAAGTAATGGTGGCTTACAAGAAAAAAAATAGTGCCGACATGTATAATAAAAGTCAAAGGCATTATTTAAGACAAGTACATAAATGTAAGTATCTATGCACATGGATAACATCCAATAGATGTATCACAGATGAAGAACAGTATAGGTTACACCTTTAAATTGGCCTTTTATAAAAGGAAGAACATTTTTGTTCAATAAATCCATGTCCTTGAAGGTGAGAAAAAGAATTCTCGTATGCTATATAGAGCCAGTTTTAACATACGGCTTTGAATCCTGGACAATTAATAAACAAGCTGAACAATATCTTGAGGCTGCGGAGATGTGGTTTTACAGAAAAATTCGTGGAATTCCTTGGACAGCTAAGAAGAGCAACCAAGATGTTTTGAAAGAGGCAGGTGTTCGAAGGCAGCTTATCACAAACATCAGAAAGAGACATCATTTTTTTCGTCATGCTATGAGAAGAGGGAAACTGCAACATGTTTTGACCACTGGAAAGATCTGTGGAAAGTGAGACAGAGGAAGACAGCGCAAGAAGATCCTTTTGTCATGGCATAGAGGTATGTCAGCTCACGAACTGATACATGCAGTTGCGGATCGAGGATCGTGAAGAGGAAGAGGCATGGTCGCCAACGCCAGTCCTCAAGGCACTTGATGGTATTCAAATACACATCTGCACACACATAGGCGTTTCTGCTAAACTGCTAGCGTTAACATATTTAAGCCTTGGAGCGTAGTTTTATTTTAACACACACACAAATATAATGACGTCAAACTTCTTCTACACCCCCCCCCCCCCCGTTCCACAAGAGGATGCAGGAGAAGTGAAGGATGATGTGTCTAATCAGAAGGTATTTTCCCAGCAGCCTCAGGGACTCCCAATCGTCTCCAACAGTCGGCCATGGTTATGTCGACGCCTTCGAAGGTAACGGTTATGTGCAATAACCGCAAGGCGCTAGTATGACGCAACATCTCCCGGTTGAACTCGACACTGGCATCCTATCCGTTTTATGCTATATATGTACTGCGTGTGAAATGTGTATGTTTGCGCGCGCGCGCGTGTGTGTGTGCGCGCAAATTAATTTATTTACAAAAGGCACTGCTTTGATTTCTACCGTCATTTCTCGGCATTTTCACAACCTAATTTGTACAAAATGATACTTTGATTAGTAAACACGAAATAACAGTGCCAGCTGCAACAATAGCCATATTACACGTTTTGTGGTGTTCCATCATTAAACACATAAGCCTAAAATAATATGCAATGGTATACAAACGAGGCAGCAACTCACGTGTTTGCAGTCTGACTAGCTTGCTAACATTATGTTAGATACAGCGAAATAAGAATTGCAATGTTCACTTTGTCAAAGCATTTAACAAGCGAAATTAAATTTCACTTAGTATCCCTGACGTACAAAAGAATGAACTGGTTCGGCCATCTAGTGAAAATGCAGCAATGCCAAACTGCATATGAGACTTTTTACAGAAGAACATATGGGAAGAAGGCGAGAGGAAGATTAAGATAGATACTGATAAATGGTGTAGCCGGAACATCAAACAAATGAACAAATTCATCACCTAATCCATCCGAGGAGCACAGGACAAATTTAGAAAACCACGACACTGGGCTACAATCTGGTATCAATAAGACGACAAAACCACGACACGGGGCTAGTCTGGTATCAGTAAAATGACAAAACCACGATACTGGGCTACAATCTGGTATTAATGAGACGACAAAATCACACGACATTGGGCTACAACCTGTTACCAGTGAGATGACAAAACCACGACACTGGGCTGCAACCTGTTACCAGTGAGATGACAAACCCACGACACTGGGCTACAGCCTGGTATCAATGAGACGACAAAACCACGACACTGTGATACAACCTGGTATCGATGAGACGACAAAACCACGACACTTGGTTACAATCTGTTGTTAGTGAGATGACAAAAGAAGAAGAAGATCCCCAACGTTTTCTTCAAAAAAAAAAAAAAAAAAAAAGACGCTGTCCTTGTCTTTTTGTTTCTGTTGGTTACCTCAGACAAGTGTGAGTGCCAGAAAATTGCTAAAGAAGACATAGTGACAGCTGATGAGTTTAATGCTGTGCTACGACACACAAACAACAGGTGGTCTGAAGTCTGGTGACACTGGAAGGTGTACTGAAGAAGAGCTGGAGAAACTAGCAAACCTGTACAATAACAGTATAGCTAATGCTAGTATCAACAAGAAGTGGGTACACCGCTTTCTTGATACCTCAGCCAAAGCCTGACAAAGACTACACAGAAACCCTATCAATTTAAGATGTCAAAATCTCAATCCAGACGGCTTACCAACAAGGCAGTTCCCAGATACCCCGTTCAACCTCCGAAGAAGTTATTAGGGCACCTGGCTGCTTTCTTTTTAGCAAACCACAAATGATGTCACGGGACAGTCCAATATTTTAGAGGGTGGTGAGAGCGGGTTTTCCGTGTTTTAGCGCGTTTCTTCCAAGGCCAAGGTTGTCGCGCGTTTACATAACCCTTACCCTAAACAAAACTATAGGATTAAACTACCGCCCCCTGAAATATTTGATTGTCCTGTGACCTGTGGATTTCACCTGCTTGAGGTCGGCTAATAAGAAATAACCGGCACCTGTAAGGCTTCGCCAGCCGGGTGTCACCTGCTGTCCTATTGCGGTAAGGACATAATTGAGGAGGGGTGGGAAGGGGGGGAGACAAAGTTTCCTTCTAAAGTAGGGAAGGTGGGGAGTTATGAAACCATTAATTTACAAAACGGAACAACACTAATATCCAGCTGTAAACTTTGGCAGAAAGTTCTGGTTGTTCGTCCACTTCTGGACTGCTGTTCTTTTCCAAAACTTGAGTTTGCGTGCGCATTGATTGTACAGATCTGACTATTTGCATGCAGACTGTTGATTCGATGGCTCTCGGGCAGATGCACTCAGACTTTGAAGGAAGCTCCCAAACAGTCGACTCGGTACTTAATTTAAAACTTACCCCTGACGTCACGACAACGTCACGGGAGACATTCCCAAAAAATTATAGTGTGTTCAGGTTGTAGTTTCTCGCGATTTCTCTACAGCCAAGTTTAGGGTTAGGGTTAGGGTTAGGATTAGAAGACACTAGATGAACACTCAAAAAAAAAACACACACAACAGCACACTTCCACCCCTTTAAATAATGGACTGTCAGGTCAGCTGTGGATTTCCCACGGGGATTTCGTGTTTGGGGTACGTTATAAATTAAGAACCGTCGACTCTTACAACATGCTTTTAGGCAGGCAGTGGGTCTATTATTATTTCCCCTATAATATAGCCCCTGAACACACACGAAGACAACACACATAGAATCTTTTCTTATCAGATCAAAGCGCGCGCATCTACAATTGAAAATGTGTGGGCTGTGACTATGCGCGTGTGGGGGTGGAGCTAGAGAATAAACGGGAATTTCAACGCGGGAGTTTCCCCATGCTTGCTTCAGATTGCATCAACCTACATCCTTCAACACCGTCTCTCTCCCCTTTCCTCGGAATACTAATGTGTGAGAGTGTAGTGTGTGGGAGGTTGTGTATGTTGTTTTGCTACGATGGGTTCCGTCTTTCACAAGATTGCATCACCGCTTGAGCAGACACTGAAATCTTTCATGGAAAGGTTAAATGGGTTCACCGTTGGTCTCAAACAAGTTTCAGCCGAGTGATATTCAATCGTTCTAACCCACTGATTGTCTAAGCCACCCCTCCATGCCAAAAAACAGTTAAACTAGCTCAATGTCATATGGTTCTAGATATCCCCGGGTCCCGC